CAAAAATGTGCGTTTGCATAGACATCGGTAATTTAATGATCGGTAGATATTTGTGCGAATTCATATTTTTACAAATATAATTAGAAACATGGAATCTATTATAGTTAGAGAATTGGTCTACTTATCAACTAATATAACGAGTACTATACTTTTGATATTTTGTTAGGTTGTCCGAAATGTTTCTTTCGTTTCATAAGGCGATAAACAACAATTTCTGTTTCATATTATTTTATTGAATTAGGTATAATCCATTTCGTTCTATTTTTATTATCACATTCGTGCATAATTCAATAAACCAATACAAAACGAAAAACTTTGTGCGTCTATTATTTCCTTATAAAACGAAAGATACTTGAGCTAATATATATATATATCTGCGTTACATGTATTTTACGCATCTTTGCATCTTCAGATTCTCCACATAAATGCACAAAAATTCGCGGCCTAATGATCAGCGTATTTGCGGCGCGAAACGAACAGAATGGAGGGTCGCGACGCACCAACGAAAGCTTGAATGGAATATTCGCAAAGAGAAAAGAACGAACCTGCCGATTCGATCGATAGGACGGCTCGTTTCGTTCAAGCACGATCATCGACCGGCGACGTATTGTCTGTTCGGCTCGATTATCGAGCAGCTGCAAGCCTATATAAATTATCGTCCGTTTCACCGAACGATGTTCCTTTCGGGCGCTTGGTTCGCGATATCTCGAGTCCTTCTAAAGACCGCTACAGACTGACGAGATGTGGCGAGTAAAGAAGCCTTAGTCGACCAGGAAATCTAACGATTCAGATTCAGGATTCAATGGTCGACCTAACGCAACTACGTTTTATCGATCTATACGAGATAAAAATTACTCGACAGTTTCTCGTCTATCGGTCACTTAGTTGACCCGTTTGTAGCGGCCTTACGAGACTCGTTCTCGCGCAAATCGAGACACGAATAGCCAGAATTGCATGTAATCGGGAATTAAGGAAAATCAGCACAAATCGTATTCGGCTCGATGCGGGACATCGATAAAGTAAACGTAATTCACGGCGCTCTGCCAACAGTTATGAGTCATTCATTGCGCGGCAAAGAAGGAGGAAAATGATATTGGTAATGGCGCAGAGCGAACAGAGAGAAAGAAACGCACGATTTCTAGGTATTTTCATCTTCGCCGAGAACGCGCTTAATAATATCTTCGCGCTCGTGCATAACTCTCTCTTGTTTTACGTGAAAACAAAAGATAGCACTTCCGAGTAGTTCGTAGAATTTGCTACATCGATCTACATCATCGATCTATGTCGTTTCGTACTTTGCTCGGACATTGCATCAGGCCCGATCGTCAGCGAAGAACGAGCCTCCGTCCCGGCGACCAAAATTAGCTGCGAATTAGTCCGCTCGTGTCCGATTTCGGCCGTCCGCTCCTCTACCGCGGTCGAACGAGGGTAATCGTTATCGTTCCCTGCAACGCGAATCGCACTGGACGAAGTGGAAATTGGCGAGAAAGTTGGAATTCGGGGTTGACGGCGAGCTTTCGAGGACTAGAGTGTCGCAAACGATCGGCGGCACCACTTCACGGTCGATAACTCCTAGAGAGACGATTTGACCTTTCGCACGCGCGTCTCTTCGAAAAGCCCGATCTTGTTCGCTGTTTCCCCTCCGCGATGGACCGAGGAGTTGGGGAAGCGGGAAACGAGGAGCGCGACCAAGCAGAAGAGAAGGAGAGCGAGCCGATGATAACGCGGCCAGATACGCTGAAATCTCGTTAGACGAAAAAAACTGCGATTTAAGCGGCGGTCAATTGAATTTCTTTTTTCTTTCTTTCCGGCCAGTTGCGATTACATCGGATTCCACAGCGAGATGCCGTCAGTTTACGAACGAACGAACAAACCAACTATGTAATCAACGAACGAACAAACGAATGAAAGCTTGCTCGCAAAAGCAGAGGTGACTTCATACTCGATAGATTAAAGAAGAGCGCGGTAATTAATGATCGATCGTCCGAAGGAAACGCGAAAACGATAGACAGAGGTCACCGGCGATACCACCATGACTTGTACAAAGTGTAGTTCCGCGGACAAACGATAACGCGGTTTTGCTTCAATGAGATTTTCCACGGCTTACGGAAAAGGAGGAGGGACGCGAGAAAGTTAGATACGCTTTTATTTGCCCCCACGCAAATAAAGCAAATTTTCTTTCTCACTCTCTGCTTCTCCTTCGCACTCTCCTTCCATCTCTTCTTTCCATCGTCCTTTCGATCTCGTCAATCCTCGTCCTATAGAAAGTAGGAGAACGAACGGGCGAACGCGGTTTCCCGCCATGTGGCCACCTTAAACGCGCCAACACGATCCAGATAAGCGAACGATTTCATCGGCAACTGTCTAACGCGAATTCCTGTTTCCCGCGTTTCGCTATTTCGGCCATTCAACCCGAAGAAACTATACATATTCGATACGAATCTCGCAAAAGTTTCCTCCTTTTTCGTTCATTCGGCAACAGTCGATCGCGTCCAACTTATACCCACGCTATTTTTCCACGTGGTTTACACTTTGTACAATGTGTGTCAGCAATCACGGTGTAATCGAGAAGGAAGCATAATATATATACAACAATTTTTATTACATATTTTTTACCTACTTTCGCATATACAATAACTACCTACTAATTATTTACTCGAGAGGTGATTAGTCGAATTTACATATATCGAACAAACGTTCAAATTTTACTTTATCGAAAACAAAGCACCGTATAAGAAACTTCTACTCTATAGTTTAGATATATTTTTTACTGAAACACTCTATACGTTCAGAAGTAAGCAAAAATCTAGAACGAAATCCCGCGATCGCGCGACCAATCGCGCGTTCATCGGTCGCGATACCACGCGAGATACTCGAGAGATTTTTCAGTTCCAGGGAAAACAGAATAAGAATAACAAAAATGAATGGTTTTTACGATCATATCGCTCCCGATTGCTTCTTATTGAAAATCATTTGTTACCTCGTACAGATTCTCCTATTAAACGATAAAACGCTTATTAAAATGTTTGTTACAACTGGGTTCGAAATATCAGATCAGAGTCATTTTTCAATCATTTTTGCAGCATTCTCGTCTAATCAGGCGTATTTCCCTCAACGACTTTGGGTACGGATCGTACGAAACCTTACGGTTATTGAATTAAAAATGAAATTCCAAGAAGGTGTTCTAATTTTCAACAATTCGGTCTTTTCCTCTTCCGAGAAAACGACGTGTGCGGATGCAGAATCGATGATAGATGTGGCACGTGCCGAACGAGTCTCGCTGAGACTGAAGAAACGTAACGCGGCGCGATTCGACGGGCGAAACGGGCTCCCACCACGGATGAAACGCCACCAGCGTTTCTCATCATCGTCGAAAATAGAGCGATCGCGCGATTTCGACGCGCAAATCGCTACTTTTCTGCCGTGTTGATCGAGCCGCGTACAATGCCGGTATTCTTTAATCCTCCGCAGAATTCCGCGACGTTCGACCAACAATGGTTACAAACCCCGTTGTTTACCGACACGAATTGCTCCGTGAATTCCAGACCGAATAGCAATTTACCAAATTAGATCCTCGTTCATTATTAGATTCGTCGTCACAGTTGGGATAAGCGTGGCAAGTATGTACGCCCGCGTAATATCCTACACCGCAGAAAGAAAAATCGAACATCTCGATTTCACGATTTCGTCGATTCTTCCTTAAGACCAGCTTAGGGTTATAGAATGTTTATATATTTCGCGCTGGGAGCCGCGTTAGATTAAAGTACAGTGGTTGACAAAAGAAGATTCATAAAGCAAGGAATACAAAAAAATACGATAACGGTACAAAATGAATTTATTATATATTTGATAAAAGCGACGATTAAATTTGATATATACCGCAGAATAGATAACTGTTGCCAATGTGATAAAGAACGTTTAGTACAAAAGTTATTAAAATTCATACTGTGTCAATTTTACATTTTCGTATTACACTGTGGACGAAAAAAGTAAAGGCGAATCTATCGGCTTATCGGTCTGTATCCGACGATGGCATCGATATACGCGACATATCGCAGGTCGTAGAAGACGATTCGAGGGTGCGGCGGTCGGGGTCAGTCGTTCCGTCGGCACAGCGAGGCAACGAGTTTGGCAAGTCCCGGTTGCGCAACCACTGTCGTCAGATTTTTAACTTGTTCGCGCGCCACCGTTCTTTTTTTCAATGTTTCCCTTCCCCTTGGTCCGATCGCGGCTTTCGCCTCCCAGCGCGAAAACCATTACGTCACTTTACGAGGCGATCTAAGGGTCACCGGTGAACTCGCGTTACCAGGCTCGAGAAAATTTCTCGCAATCCCAAAACAATAATATCCATAATATGCTCGATTTATCTAATATCGAGGAGATAACGCGCTATATAATCGTGGTTCGCGTAAATATCCTTGTTTTCAAGAAACGCGGTGTACTCGAATGAAAACGTGCACACGACGTAAATCGCGTTACGCTCATTGAAGCGAGAATCGTCTTAGAAGATGACCAGGCTAGAGAAGCGAGCGTAACAACGCGACATTTCGAAAGAATTTGCAGGTCATTTGGCGTTTCGTTGACCCTCGAAATCAAAGGCGACATTGGCTTATCGGTGAACGTTAATTGCCCGGGGACCAATGGTCCGCTCCTCCGTTAATTTTCAGCCTTAATCAACTATCGTTCGTTCATTAATTTCGACAGCAGTTTCAACGAGGCGGCACAGCTTTTTTTTCCTCCGCAGAAAGAAACAACGAGAGAGGTCGCGAGGAATCGCTTATCGAGCGCGTCGTACGTCACTCTGCTGGCCGATTGTTCGTTCCGATTCGCGATCCAACGCTCGTGAATTCTTCTCACGATCGCTCGTGCGAATCCTTCGACCATGGAGATCGTAGTTTGGATCAAATAAGAGGCAAATTAGTCCGCGGGAGAAGCGACTGAAACACATCGGCTGAAGAAAAAAGAGCAGAAGCGGAGGAGAAGAGGAAAGGGGAAAGAAAAGGAAGGAAGCGAAGATGCGAGAAGATCGCGAATTAAAAGAGGGGGAAGAGGTGAGTTTAGCATGTGATAGGGAAAGAGAGAGAGAGAGAGGGATAAAGAGTGATTATCTATGCGGGGAAGGGAAGAGGCTGCGTAGAAGAAAGAGGGAAAGAATGGAAGAATGGATGAACGTCTGGAGCCAAGCTGGCTACACGAGAAGGGGCTCGACATCGCGTTTACAAACCGAACTTGATTAGGTGGGGACAGCTGAGCTTATAAGACACCAGAGCACAGCCTTCGAGACCAATAGTCGCAAAACGGTTAACGCGTGGTGTGCACAAGAAACATTCTGCCGAAGAGCTTTACGAAAAACGAACTATCGCTTTCGCACGACCGATCTCGACCGGATAATCGAACACGGAAATTTCGAGGAACCGCGTACGACCGATCAATCTTCCTTCGAGGAAGAAAAAACGCTGACGACTGAGTGGCTGGAGTCTATCTACCAGCGAACCAGTGATAACGTTGGGTGGTAAAAATCACGAAACGACAGATCGAATTTTGTCGCGGCTAACGTATCAACGTTACCACACGACACGAGAGATCGTTCAAGGAATTTTTCCTGTGACCACGAACGACTACTAGTTGAATATCTAGAAGAAGGAACAGCATCATCAGCAGGGAGACTTTCGATCACAGTGAGTACCTCTTGTCGCGTTCGTGTGATTTCGACTTTTCTAGAAACGGAAAATTTCACGGTAGGCGCGACGAACGCTAGGTCATGCGTATGACGCGGGGAATAAATCAACGAAGCGCAATTCGTGTCACAAGTTAAATCGGATCATGGTCGATCAGCTGATTTCGGATCGAAACGAGTCGAACATCGATGCAAAGCCCGAACTCGAATCGATACGAAACGTTCTTTGCAGCAACTTCTAGAAATATCTTCGTTTAGCGAGATATCGACGGTGATCTTAGGCTTTAACCGAGCCGTAACATTTTCGAATATTTAAAAATCCTCCGCAACGAGAGAAACAAGAAAAAGTGTACTTCAGCGATACAAATTCGATGTTGGATCGCGAAACCGCGTGAAGTTGATTCGAGTTTTGTTGCTCTGGAAGTCAGATAACCCCGTAAAAATCTTCCACTTACGAGCACAGCGGTGGGAATCTGCACCGTGGATTGATTAATGGTCTCCTTGTATCCGATTCCGGTATCGTATTTGTTCGACCTCAACGAAAAGGAGAGGAGAGAGAGGTACGGCGGGTGCGAAGGAATGCGGGAGGGCGTAATGAAGAAAAGACGCGAACTAGTAAAAATAATCGAAAAAGTAAGAAAGTAAGAGGGTGGGGAAACGCGAATATGTTTGCGCGAAAAACACAAACGATATCCCACCGACACAGCATCGTCCATTGGTCCCATATGCTCTTTTTTACCGCAACTTCGACTTACAATATCGTAGCCATGCTGCCCTTCTGACAGTTCTCTTTCGGGACTCGTGACGAGATCGTTTACTCTGCTGCTCGGCGATACGCCCGCGAGAGTCGCTAATTTTCGCTTATCAAGGTCAGAAAAACATCGCGAATCTTAGAAGCTATCTCTGGTGGACGATACGCGCAGATGAACTCGATTAATTCCACGCAGCTTCTTTTCAATCGCATCGCGAAATTTTTCTTTCCTTCTGGAAAAACGTTTGTTTCGTCGGAATCGAAGGAAACCGCACGTAAACCGCTAATTTACGGAAACCAGCTAGCGAGAAGCAATGGAAACCTTGACCCGTCGAGAACGTTACGAAATTCGGTCGACTCTAGTGACGTACGTACGTGGCTAGATTTGTAAATAGATGGGCAGAAGAAGGCGGAACGAGAGAAAATGGCACGAAAGATTGATTCGAAAACGAATCTTGAAACTTACCACCTTCGGACCCTTTGGTTAGCATCTTTCTTAGAATCGCCGTCTTGTCGGTGTAGGCGTCGACTTTGGCCACGTTATCGCAGATCCGCTGAAATTCCTGAAACGCGTCGTCTCTCGTCGGTTTTCGCACCTTCTCGGGCGTCTTTTCCGATCCTGAGATATCCGATGCGTCGTCGATGGTGCACGTGGAGCCATTCCTCTCTTTCTTCCTCGGTTTTTTGTTAGGAGAAGGATCAGACTCCGTCGTACGAGTAAGTTTGCGTTTCTTCGAGCCGGAGGATTGATTCGCGACCTGTGTCGTCTTCGGAGTCTTGAACGGAGCTGGGAAGAAAAAGCGATCGCCGTCACAGTTCGCTCGCGCTAGAAGGCTTTCCACCCGGGAGATCGCCCGGAGATTAGCATCGAGGGAAAATCGATCGTGGTATTCGACGTATTATCGTCGAGGTATTAGCACCGGGTGACTCGATGTCCCCGAGTTCTGAAATCTCTTCGAGCAGAATAGCTGGATTTATCGGAGGATAGAGAGAACGGCAGAAGCGCGAAACAAAAGGTATAATCTACACATGCTGCATTCGATGATCTTTTAAGGCTGTAATAATAATCGCTGCTGAACGAGAAACCAGTTTAATGCAACGTAAATCATCGGCCGACCGATCGCTCTAATAGGCGATAATGCTCGCAAGATGATTTATGGGATACAATTTGTACATCCTCGATTTAATTGAACGGCAATTAAAACGCTCGTCTCTGCCACGTCGCGATAACTGACAGAGATGAACGCGCTCTTTTCACGCCATGGAAATTACTCGAATTTCGTTATCTGTTCGTACGTTTATCTTCGCGTCGCGATGCAGCTGCCCGAAACGGCGATTCCTACGAAAATCAAATATCCTGAAATTAAAGGATCGAGCCGGTAACTATCGGATGGTAAAGGCATCGTTTTCAGGCATCGAGATCACCGCTCACCACCGAACCGGATCTACAGATCGAAGGAAAGGGAAATCTTACACGAGTTTTCAAACTCCTCGATTCTTTGAAGAATCGCAGTTTTGTCCTCGTCGCACAGATCCTGCCAGCCGCTTACATCTTCCTCGGGATCGTCTATTCTCTTGGTGGTAGCCCTTTGTCTGGCGAACACCTCGAACAGACAGCTCAAGTGATGCCAAGCTTTCATTTTGCCATCGGAGAACGGATTCGCGACTAGCTTCGCGATCCTTACGGTGTCCTTTTCTATGGGGCACTTGCATTTTTTGCACTTGGCGCGACCGCTTTTTGCCCGTTCCACCGCGAACGGCTTCTCCTCTTCCTTCTCCTCGTCCGACATCGACATTGATCTGAAAACCGTCAGCGAAATAATGAACGCGAAGGCAATTTAAAACCATAAAGGAACGAACGTTTAGTTTTCCCCTTCTCTTTGTTACATCAACTCCACTCTAAATTGAAAGCAAACAGCGGTGAATCGTAGCGTTGGGCGTTGATGCCACTCCGACCCCTAATCCAGCTTAAAAGCTAAGAAAGTGAAAGGGATTGAAGTGTCAGGAGTGCAGGTAAACGCTTACGCAACGAGTAGTCCATGTCAAGAATCGAGCCGACGCGACGTCAAGCGACGCGGCTCGAACCGACCGACTCCTCCAAGTTCACCCCTTTGGTTTTTGAACGATACGATAGAACAATACATTTGTAATTCGTCGAGTTTCGATCGCGTTATCGACACGTTGCTCTTTGTTCCGACGTTTCGTGAACATTCCACTTCGCTCGTTCAGGGCGAACGTGAATGACTCGATTGAAATGCAGAGTGTCACAAACATGTTGAAAATGCAGGAAAAGATACGATACAAGTTTCAGAAGAACGAACGATTCCTTGACTAACTCTGACGTTCTTTAGCTGGTTGCACTTGCATCGGTGATGGTGTACTCGAAAACGAGGAACTCCAATCCTGTATTATTCCACTTGTGCAACGAGAACTGCTTACATTCGCATAAAAGATAATTCTCGAGCTGCGCCTGGCAATCATCGTAATCGCGATTATTGTCGTAATATCGTTCCAGAAAGGCCTTCGGCTGGATTGCGTCATTCTTTCGAGCTTCGAATTCTACCGAGTTTTCAACACTTTGATCCTAAAAATATCCAACGTAGCGCGCACTCGACAAACATGTAATCGCGGTACTCGAATTTTTCTCACCGACGTGGCGAAAACTAGAAGAGATGCGAGGATTATTGCGAAGTTTATCAGTTATCGATTACTCGTGATCGATAGTGGTTAAATTTAAGTAAACAAACGTTTGAGAACAAGGACGCGCGCTATTCGTCGCGAAGGATGCGAAAGTACGACGCAAAAATCGAAGGCTTCTGGTGCGCCATTTTGCCGGGCGTGCGATTTACCAAGAAATGAGAAAAAAAGAGAATCGCGCTGATAAGAAGAGGCCGTTAATTGAACGAGGCCGATAAGCGACGAGGGGCTGTAATTGTCGGTTAGAGCGCCGATTGGTCGGCATCGATGTCGTCGTATTGAAACACTGACTAATAGTGGCGGGAGGTCGTCTATCGAATTCCGTGTATTCTCGCGACATTCGTCGTTCCTCTTTTCATCGAGAAGACAGAAGAGACCGCGAGCCATCCTTGTTGACATTTCACTTTACACCTTAACGATGCTTTTCTCGTTCTATGAAGATATAACTTCACAACGTATGACACGAAGATACGATAACGAAGATATAAATTCAACTTTTCGCGCTCGTCTGATCGGCATCGTCCTTTATTAAAAGAAAACGAACGCGTCTTTCTCTAGCTAGTCTCTTCTCTTTCTTCCTTTCTTTTCCGATTATTCGTCACGAACATTGCGATTAGATCAGAGTTTTTGGAAATATTTTACTTTCTTTATTTCGCGATATGTATTTCTGGTTTCTACCGAGTATCTACGAGAAGTACGAAGAACAAACGGCAATTTCAATCTCCAAAACACCGGTAATATTTTACGCGAGCAAAATTAGTTGGAAAAACGTACGATCGAAAAGGGGAACCGAGGGATGGGCTAATTGAGCGTTGCTCGTAAGCGGCGATACGAATCGAATCCGCGAATAAATCAGTGCACGCGCGACGTTTCCATCGTGCCCCATCCAAAGAACGCACTTTTTAATCAATTTTTAATCGTCCTCTGCCCGATGATCGGTTTGATCTGAAAGAGGAGCGCGCGGCTCGATATCCGGTTGCCTGAGACGTCAGAACGCCAAAACGTCAGAACCTTAAAGAGCTGTTAAAAAAAAAAAAAAAAAAGAAAAGAACGTGAATGAAGAATGGTTGAAGAAAATGAAAATTGTTTCTCGAATCCTTTGTCACGACGCTAAAACCGCGACATGGTACCGCGAATGAAGGGGAGGGCGAAACGGGAATCGTTAGAACGTGGGTAGCAAGTTTTCACGGCGTGTTATTCCTTTGCGGTCGAATTTCGCTACAGATGCTTCGACTACTGGGAAATGCCACCAGTAAAATACGCTAGCTACGTTGAAACCATCACGAGGGATGCAAGGTTGGCTCGAGGCAAAGAAAATTATCGCCCCCAAGAATTAGTTAAAAAAAAAAAAAAAAAAAAGAAAAGAACGTGAATGAAGAATGGTTGAAGAAAATGAAAATTGTTTCTCGAATCCTTTGTCACGACGCTAAAACCGCGACATGGTACCGCGAATGAAGGGGAGGGCGAAACGGGAATCGTTAGAACGTGGGTAGCAAGTTTTCACGGCGTGTTATTCC